GGGTGTTGAATAGAGTAAGATCCTGTGATGGATGCCAGATTATGGGTAGATGATGGGTGTGGTGTGTTTTTCGGTACTGAGGGGGTCGGTCTGTTGGCTTGTGATGAGTCATGTTGTCTATTTATCTGCTCTAACAACAGATGCTCTGTTAGAGGAGCAGAGAGACATGTGACTGAAGCAATGCTCATGAATCCATTATGAGGAGAGCTGATAAGTCAAATATGACTGCTGTGTCTCAGTAGGACATGATTCATTGATTACATTACATCATAAATGATTCTACATACAAGATGACTCAAACTACACTGAGCTGCTCAGGTCCTCAGACTCATTATTAGTTTCTATGGGCAGTTTTGTTGTTGACACTTATTCACTGCATTCATTCATGAATATATTCTTTAGCAAAATATGCGGAAACAAAAATGCTATGGTATTGGTAACACTCAAGCAGAAATATTTATAGAGACTGGAACCCAGCTATCTTTAATGTGGAAGCCAATTTGCTTAATTTTTGTTATGTAATATTTTCAACTTTAATTATGAGTAATTACAAGTTCGGCAAATAACTATATAAAACAGTGTTATTTTAGTACTATTTATATACCATTAATTGTTAAGATTTTGAATGAGCTTTTTATGTTTTTAGCTTGCATTTTAGTTATAAAATTAGTTTTAAATATTTTTTTTAATTAGTTGTTTTTTTAAAACATTTTTGTAATTTTGTTATGTGCTTTTGTCATTTTCATTTATTTAGTTTTAGCTTTATGTATTTTAGTTTTAGTAATTCAGCTTAAACTTATTTTAATCTTATTTGCCATGGCAACATTTTTTCAAGTTTTCATTTAATTTCAGATTTTATTTGATAAACATGAGCGCCACTAGAACTCCAGATAGTTCATTGAACTCACTGAAGGCCAAGGTGAACTTTGTATTTTGCTGCCATCTATTGGCCACCTTTACTAAAACATATTAAGAACTCCTGAGATTCGTGAATTAAGTTGACCTCCTTGTTCTGTAACAAACGTCCCTCAATGACATTGGTATGTGAGGTTACAGCTATTCTTTAAGTAAACACTAAAGTTAACTAACAAAATCTGATTTCCTTCTAAATTTCTCTCAGTGTCCTCCCTGTAAGAGGCGTAAGCTGGAGAAAGCCCATAAGGCCCTCACCTTCACTGTACTGAAGCCCAGTGTGGCCCAGCATCGGCTGCACCAACACCAGCCCCACAGAGAGTGTGTCTGCCTGGCTGGAGAAGATCCTCACAGACCTGAAGGGAAACAGAAAGAGGAAAATGGATATTCAGACATCAGTGTGTTGATTTCCATTTATTTAATCAGGGATAAGTGGTAAGTTAAGTACAACAACAACAAAAAAGATATAATAATAATAAATAGATAAATAAATAATAATAATAAATTATTATTATTAGAATAGATTATTATTATTATAATTGTTATTATTAACATTAATAATAATAATTATTATATAACTACCATTAATTATAATAACAGTAATTGTTACTATTATTATTTTAGGTTCTGCTTATTATTATTATTATTATTATTAAATAATAATATCAATAACAATTGTTATTATTAGTAGTATTGTTGTTGTTATTGTTATTATTTTAATGTTATTTAGCAGACAGTCTGTTCCAAAGTGACTTGCTGTAGGCTTAATGTAGGGACATTAATGTGGCTGATACAAATGTTCAACATTAAACTTCTCATCTTCAGGTACTTCATAAGTGGGTTCCTTGTGGAGAGGCGGAGTTCAACCTCTTCCTGACAGCAGTGGAGAACACCTGGATCCATGTGCGGCAGAAGAGGCGAGAACAGGGACGACATCTCCGAGAGCTCCCTAGAGCACAACCGACCTCCACCTGTAGCACAGATGCCTCCGCTCCATCTGTCCCTGACACAGACGCTCCAACACCAGCACCAGAGGAACCCACAGCAGAGGGCAGCAGAGCGAAGGAGAGGGATGAGCAGCAAGACCCAGAGAAAGGTGCCAACTTCCCAATGGATTCCCCCACCGAACCAAAGGAGGCGGCCGTTGGCGATCCTCAAAACCCAGAGACAGTACAGTGCTTTCTCTTCCTGTGCCTGGTGACCGTGAAAGAAGAAGAGAACGATGTGGTGGTGGAGATGCATTGGGTGGAAGGGCAGAATAAAGATCTGATGAACCAGCCCTGCACTTGTTTGAAGAACTCTCTCTTTCGACAGGTAGCCAAACCTACCTAACACCACACAGACTTTAAGCTTTCCTCCCCACCTTCCAACACAGATTCAGCACTTACCACTGTCCAAAGTGCTGTGAGCCATACAACTGGTAAAGCTGCAAATTAACCAAAACTCCACATTGACAGATGTTTTATTAACCACTGATCGATGTTGTGATCAGACCTTTTATTACATTTGCAATAAAATATTTTAAACATTTTTGCTGTTAGTGTTTTTGTTACTTCGGTTAAATGCACACTAATTAATTAATTTTATTTAGGATGTTATTATTTATTTTAGAGATATTTATGTTTTTTTAATTTATTTATATTTTTTAATTGTACATTTTAAAGCTTGGCAATAATATATTATAATAATATTATGACAATTTTCTTAAGGTCACGATGAAATGGAAGCGACAGGTCTGTTGATGAATTATTGAAAAAGAAAAAAATGTCAGGTGCGGACTTGGTTCTGTACATCTGTTATTGATTTGATTCACCGGAAGATGTGGTTTTGACATTATGAGGTCAAAAATTTTGCTAAAAATTAAACGTGTGGATGAATTGTTCACACTGAAATCTGTAATATGCATTTAGAAAATAGGTATACATTTCATTTTATGCTGATTTTAAAGATATATGAATGGATCCACTGTTTAGATTTTTTTTACTTGACACAATTTTCTGCTGAACAATATTGCTTTGGATTAGATTTTTAAAAAACATTTCGCATTTCTCAGAAGTTTTATAAAAATTTCAATCAAATATAAAAACATGATAAAAAATGTTGGGCTTTCTCTGATTAATTTTTTTAGAATAAACAATATCATTTAAATACATGTTAAACTATTTTTGTTAGTAACTTTGATTCTGAATTTAACCAACCCAAACCCAGTTTACCTAAGAGGCAATAGTTTCCTGCTTTTACAAATGCTGGACAAAGATTGTCCCCATATATTCCTTAGACATAAAATATTTGGAAAGCCAAATAACTCAATAATAGGTTGTGTTCCTTTGCACGTCCCGTCTCTGGAATGCCTTTTTGGTTGTTTCACAGGAAGTTGGAGTTAGTATAAACGTCCTGAGAGGAGCAGGCTTTCATAACCGGAAGCAGTGGCGGCAGCAGCAGTCACTGAGAGGACCACGAGCAGATAATGTGTGCTGGGAGTCACGTGAAGCTCTCCAGGCTAAAATTCTACTCGAATTGCTCCAGGGGCAGATTCTGAAGTTGAACCAGGAGCTTATTCTCCATTTCCGTGCATGTGAGAGTCTCATGAAAGTCTGAGGGTAGAGCAAGTTTATGAGTGTGTTTGCTTACCCTCTGCTTTGACCTTCTCAAATGATTAAAAGGAAATGAAGAATGACTTGACATGTGCATAGCAGTTACCACAAAGCAACAGGATTTTGGATCTCATGTGGAAGGCTGTTTCTTCTACCAGAGAGACGTAAACAGAAATGTACGGCTGTTCTTGTAAGGTTTTTCCTTTTGAATGAGATCATGTGCAATAGCTGTTTAAAAAGTCATGTGGGAAATTGCAGAGAAAGTTCAGATGCAGTGGCGAAGGGCTTAGAAATGTCTTATCGTCTTATTAGGATTATTAGTAATGTATAGTGTATTTAAACACCCTATTTAATCAATGCATTTCAACGTTCAAAATTTTCTGTCCTCTTTTTGTCACCAGACCCTTTTCTCCATCTCTGCTGCTCTCTCCTTCTCTTCAAGTTCAAGTCTCCCTACTGTCCTGCAGTACACTGCCTCACCGGTCACCATGGATACAGTCACATGACTCACCCTATATTCAGTCAGCACATGTATCATGGCAGCAAAGAAAAAGATTCTGTATCTCGGATGAAAAAGGGCAGCAGAGTGAACTGGTGGTGTTTATTGCTCAAAATGAGGGTTTACTGAAATAAATGTTAATGTGGTGACTATATTTCTATAGAAAAGTTGCATATCTCTGGTCACAGAAAATGGTTCATTTTTATGAATTGATGTAAATATGTAGTAGTTTAGGAGGCCAAAAATAGTCAGTTAAGTATAACTTTTACTTTTAAAAAAAAATTAAATAGCGTTTTATAATGCTGTAAAGCAGTGTGTGCTGTCTATATTTCAGAAATGTTTTGGATCTTTGTCACAGAATGGTCACAGAAAATGGTTCATTTTTATGAATTGATGTAAATATGTAGTAGTTTAGGAGGCCAAAAATAGTCAGTTAAGTATAACTTTTACTTAAAAAAAAAATTAAATAGCGTTTTATAATGCTGTAAAGCAGTGTGTGCTGTCTATATTTCAGAAATGTTTTGGATCTTTGTCACAGACATTGCGTTTTGATCCCAGCCAAATCATGGTGACAGTGCTCTGTAATGTTACTGCGGACTGTTTATCGATACTCACCATCTGTTTGAATAGTGACTGAACCATAGGTCGACCTGCAGGTTGCATTTTCGTTTTTAGTTGGCGTGCAAAACGCGCAGAATGACACCCATGTGAGCAGATACCATGCCTTGCGTGGCTGCTTTCCTATTGGCTGCTCTGATCTCATGATTTATTAATCAACGAGAGGCGTGGTATGTGTAGGTGTATTGCGTAAAACCTGGATCCGACGTTTATATTTGAAGCGTTCTACTTAGGAATTTTAACCAACACAGAAGAAACGTGGTGGCATACGCATTACTGACCTTATGTCAGTTTGTGTTCTGTCGTAATTCGTCGAATATACGCGATTATTAAAGCGCTGCCATCTCCGTGTTTTGACAGACCAGCGTGCGGGGGGCGGGGCATCGGTGCAGGGGGCGGAGTCCAACTGTCTGTACAATGGCCAGAAATGTTGACTGAATAACCCGCGCCATCTTGTTGTGACTCCTCTACGTGCGTGGAAGAGTGACTTCAAGGGGGATCCAGTCACGTCTTTCCTTTCCTTTTATTTTTTTTATAGACGAGAAGATTGGATCCCAGGCAGAAGCATTTGAATCTATCTATTTAGCATTTTTAATTCATTTCCCCAATCGTTTTTGGACCATAGCAAGAACCAGAGATGAGTATCGAGACGCTTTTAGAGGCGGCGAAGTTTTTGGAATTGCAAGCCCTGCAACAACAGAAAGCACGTGGTAAGAAAGGAAAAATATGGGGACACGAGCCTTTATGACAGGCAGAGGGTCACTTTAACGAATCAGTGTTGTCCTCTAATGTAGTATCCGGTTAATATGAGACATTGTTGCACGGGATGTCACAGGCTACGTGATAGCAGGTGACATGAAATATTGTCATGTTATAATACGCCGATAATAAGACTCTGCGAAACTGCAGTATAGTATGCTTACGTTTACTTTGTAGTTTTCCGGATAGTGACAGCCATGTATTAAAATGCAGATAATGTATGTTTATCAGCTTTGACTGTTGGGATAGTTCGTGATTGAATACTTCCTTGCAGTGGCGATGTAGAAAAACATACCTGCTTGCTTTTAAGGGCGGTGGCTTACAAGTACGTGCGCGAGTGCCAGTTCAGTTGCGCTTTACATAATGACCCAAGTATCACATTACGCGGCTCTTATTTGCACCCTTTCTGTAGAAGTGAATGGATATAATGTTTTATTGGATTTTCGCCGAGTGTTTTCAGCGCAATTGCACAAATGTTGTTTTCTCTCTCTGCCGCTCTGCATGCGTCCACTCACTGGCGCTTTCTGAAGCGCCTCGGTGACGTGTCTGTCATAGCCACGCCCTCATGTGAGTTCGCGTGGCAGAGCCCGCCCCCTTCTCTCCATGTGCGCGCCAGGCGCTGCTCTGTGTGTAGGGCGGGGCTTACGAGGCTGTGTGTAGGCTTACAGCCAGAGGGAAAGTAGGACAGTAACCCCCTGCTTGCTGTTCCAAAATGTACTGCAGTTATATAACACACTCCTGCAGTTTTGGTTCATCGTGTTGCTCTAACAAAAATACTGGAAGAATGACATTCTCAGGGATAATTTACATGACAAGCTTGTTGACCATGCAATCTGTGGACCAATAAATCAGTTATTGATATATCAATTAATCAACTATTTATGAGGATAAATAGAATTAACTATTTGAAAATCAAAAAAGTATATATATATATATATATATATATATATTATATATATATATATATAGTAATTTGCAATTGTATACTTGATTTTTTTTAGCTGATTTTCTAATTCTCATTTATATATCAAATGCATTCTCATGATTCAATTTTTTTTTACTAACATGTATTTTACTCCAGTCTTAAGATTGTGACGGAAGTCCTCTCGGTCAGTTTCACTTCTGTATATTTCACCACTGCTGACTGTAATTCTACTCAGCATGTGACTCTGTAAAAGCATTCAGCCAGTAGTTTGAAATGCTGGGCTGTAAATTGCATTGCACACTGGTGGACCATCATTTCCTGTGTGCAGTTACACTTTCTGCCCTCTATAGCCGTTAAATAAGTACACCAACTTTAGGCAGTCAGGTGTTGTCCAGGGAAATGATGTGAAGAAGAATCTGAGGGCTTCTCTTCTCTTGTTTGACACAATCAGAAGTGTTCAAAGAAAAGTGAAACCTTGATATGTGTTTATGCATGTGGGAGGTGTTTTGTCCTCTTACAGATATCAGTAATGCCATTAATCAGCTGTTAACACCGCTCCAGTGTCAGGAAAGCGAGTGTATTTAAAGGAACTGAACAGTCACATTTTCATTTGAAAGGCTTGCTGTTTCATGTGTATTGTGCTTTCTTGTGTATTCTGCTAATTGGTTGTTTGGTTCCTCCTCTTTTCAGCAGGAGGAAGCGTGCGCTGTTCAAATAACATAGTGGTGACTGGTGGGGGTGGATTGCTGCTCTGTGATAGGCTGAGATTAGTTTGGAGCACTTTCACCACCCCCTTCGCTGACACACACGATAAGAATGCCTGTCTTAAAAGTCTCATTATCCTCTGAGTGCACATGATTTGATGCTGTCCGGCTTTTCACCCTAATGAGATTCATGGCGTTCCAGGCACACACACACACACACACACACCTGTGTCTTTTTCAGTTTATCTAGGACACCTTGAATTCCTGTGCGTTAAGAGGATTTTTTTTAACTGGTAGCATTAGGTTGTGCAATGATACATTTTTTGATTGCCATTAATTGGATGATATGAAGCAGAGTTTTCTTCAGTGTTATGTTGGTAATACGTTTTTAAGGCTTTTGACCAATTCAGGTTGTTATACATATTATTAGATGTGTGCTAAAATAGTTGGAATAATGAAAGCAGTAATGTAAGGGACATACTGAAAGCTTTTGGAATGACTTGACTTGGATTAACCATAAAACCGCTGATCAGGTAAATACTCCACAACAGTCAGCTAATATCTAAATGCACTTTAGCTGAGCAAAGCCTAAGAGTTTATCGGGTGAATTCAGTGTTTATGTGATTTATACTGTTCTAGTGTAGATAAAATGGCTTAAAGATGTCTAAAGGTGAAGTGTAATTTCTGTCACTATGAATTGAAACAAAAAATAGTTTCTATTCATCAAAGAATCCTGAAAAAAATTTATTATGGCTTCCACAAAAATATTCAACATTGATTATAATAAGTGCTTTTTGAGCTGCAAATCAGCATATTAGAATGATTTCTGAAGGATCATGTGACACTGAAGACTGGAGTAATGATGCTGAAAATTCAGCTTTGCCATCACAGAAATAATTTTTTGTTAAAATATATTAAAATAGAAAATTTAATTTTCTTAGTTATTTGAAATGTTATTAATGTTTCACAATATTACTGTTTTTACAGCCTTTGTGAGCATAAGACACTTATTTCAAAAACATGAATAAAATCTTACTGACCCCAAACTTTTGAATTGTAGCGTATATATACATTTTCTATTAAATCGGTTATTATTTATTTATTTTTCATTTTTTAACATTCAGACAAACAGGTTGCTCTGGTAGCCAGTGTTGCCGTGTCGTGCTGCTCAAACAAACACAGTAGTGTTGAATATGCCACACACAATTGACATTTTTCAGGAAAATCAACCTACGAGTGGGTTACTTTTAGTTGCCTTGGTTTGCACATTAAACTGGGGATAAACATTTACCTAAAAAAATGTGATTGAATGTTTTTCAGCCTGAATTCAGTCTGCGACCAATCCTTTCACCTAAAATAGATGTAGCTTCCTTAATTGCTTTACTATTGAATAGCAGTGGAAGTCCTTTAGTGCATTACGTAGTTCTAGTTCTCCTCTCTGATTGAAAAAGTAGTTTGTGTGTCTCTCCAATGTCTCTACTATTTCCTAAACATTGTCAAGTCGGGTGCAACAGCATGTATTATTGATGCTGTAGTTTTGGCAAAGGTTCAAGAGGCCGTCCTGTGGTGTTTTGGAGCAGCTCTGCTTGAAGAAGGGAGTGTGCTAGGAGGGGGACGAGCATCATGTTTCCATTTAAGCCAGAGAAACTTTAGCCTGAAGCCTGTACACCATGTGCTCTAACAGTGTAATCTCTATCCTCCACTGTTAACCAGAAACACTCATTTGTCTGTACGCACACAAAAGCTCCTTTATTAGAGTTCACTCTGAGCTAGATATAATCTCAGGCTGGTTTATAGACCCATTTTGATTTGTGGCTGCCCCGTCTCCATCATTTGCCCCAGTTTAGATGAGATGTCATCACATCATATGTTGAAGGTCAAAAGTTACCTGCAGTGTCCAACATATAGTTCAGTCTTTACATTTCCTTGAACACTGTTTACTGGATCACACTGAGAGAGACTGCACACAAGAGAGGACATCCATTTTGATTTAAAAAAAATATATTTTATGCTTGCTTTGGATGTTAACTAAAAATGTATAGACTGATAAGTACTTTTTTTTTAATTAAAAAAATTTGATTGTCATATTTTATTACCATGTTGGTTATTGGCTGATATATATATATTTTTATTTATTGGTATCACTTAATACTGAAAACAGTTTTATTATAAGTAACTAAAATTATTTTTGGTAATTGAAATAAGGCTAAAATAAAATATAATAAAAAATATCGGATGTAAAACTTAAACCTTAATGTTGGCTAGGCAATTAACTGAAATAAATTTAAGTTATAACAAATAATATAGTTAATTAATACAATTAGTAAAATTGAAATACATTTTTTTAAATAGAAATATAAAAAACTAATAAAAAGTCTGAAAGCAAATAACAAAATTACTCACTTAAATTAAAATTAAAACGAAATAAAATTGAAAATATGAAAATAGTAACTTAACCTAATTCAAAATATGAATAAATACTATAAAGGTACAGTGGGGAAAAAAAGTATTTAGTCAGCCACCAAGTGTGCAAGTTCTCCCACTTAAAAAGATGAGAGAGGCCTGTAATTTTCATCATAGGTATACCTCAACTATGAGAGACAAAATGAGAAAATAAAATCCAGAAAATCACATTGTAGGATTTTTAAAGAATTTATTTGCAAATTATGGTGGAAAATAAGTATTTGGTCAATAACAAAATTTCATCTCAATACTTTGTTATATACCATTTGTTGGCAATGACAGAGGTCAAACGTTTTCTGTAAGTCTTCACAAGGTTTTCACACACTGTTGCTGGTATTTTGGCCCATTCCTCCATGCAGATCTCCTCTAGAGCAGTAATGTTTTGGGGCTGTCGCTGGGCAACACGGATTTTCAACTCCCTCCAAAGATTTTCTAGGGGGTTGAGATCTGGAGACTGGCTAGGCCACTCCAGGACCTTGAAATGCTTCTTACGAAGCCACTCCTTCGTTGCCCGGGCGGTGTGTTTGGGATCATTGTCATGCTGAAAGACCCAGCCACATTTCATCTTCAATGCCCCTGCTGATGGAAGGAGGTTTTCACTCAAAATCTCACGATACATGGCCCCATTCATTCGTTCGTTTACACGGATCAGTCGTCCTGGTCCCTTTGCAGAAAAACAGCCCCAAAGCATGAAGTTTCCACCCCCATGCTTCACAGTAGGTATGGTGTTCTTTGGATGCAACTCAGCATTCTTTCTCCTAATTCTTTAAAAATCCTACAATGTGATTTTCTGGATTTTTTTTTCTCATTTTGTCTCTCATAGTTGAGGTATACCTATGATGAAAATTACAGGCCTCTCGCATTTTAAGTGGGAGAACTTGCACAATTGGTGGCTGACTAAATACTTTTTTGCCCCACTGTATATTAAAAATACTAAAATAACACTAATTGAACATTTATTTTTTCATTCTCATTTCACATATTCTTTACATTTATATTATCATTGCTGTCATCTAACACTTATTTAAAGGGGTCATATGATGCGATTTTTTCCTTTCTCTTTGGAGTGTTACAAGCTGATTGTGCATAGATAAGATCCCTGAAGTTGCAAAGACTAAAGTCTCAAAACCAAAGAGATATTCTTTATCAAAGTTAAGACTCTGCCATGCCCCCCTAAAACGGCTCGTTCTAACACGACCCCACATATCTACCTCACTATGTGGAAATATTTGCATAATATGGCCCAAATGTGCACGCAAAGAAAGAAGGCGTGGTTTCAGTAACCGCAGTTAGTGTTGAAGCAGCCATGTCAGGGAGATGCTGTGTGTTTCTAGGCGAAAGCAAAAGCACTTTATTTGGCCTTCCGAAAGTAGATGCATTTAGGAATCTTTAAGATTACTTACAACAGAACAGCAATGCATTTTATGGACGACAGTTTCGTGAACCTAGGAGAGGAGGTGCTTCTGAATCAGCTACTGTTTTGTTATTAGTTTAAGTATTTGCTATTGACTGTTCAAATGCGGAGTATTGCACATCGTGTGTGTGAGAGAGAGAGAGAGCGAGAGACACAGACACAGACACAGACACAGAGTCACATCACAGTGGAGTCAGCTGTCTTAACCGTGGCTTGTGTACTGCAAACACATACCAGCTTCATCACTGTGTCTGTCACGCGACTCTGTTCCCCTTTCGGGCTCTGTCTTTACATTTATTTTGAAAGATGAAGCTCACGATTATGGTAAGGGGCGTTACATTTCCGATGAGTGCTTGTGGTGTTCGGCCAATCACAATGCACTGGGTCAGCTGGCCAATCAGAGCAGACTGCGCTTGTCGGAAGGAGGGACTTTGTAGAAAACGAAGCGTTTGAGAGAGGCGGGGCATAGAGGACCTACAATAATGTACAGTATTTGAAAAATAATGTGTTTTTTGAACATTAAAGCATGTCAACATATTCTGTTACACCAAATACACAAAATAATGATCTTTAAAATAGAATGACCCCTTTAAAGTGAATCTTTAATTTAATAACACTGTTAAATGTAATCTTTAGCAAATCTCAGAATGAGTATCCATTTTTCTAACTGTGCCTAAATTTAAATATTTATTATGTAAATATCAATATGGGCCATTGAATAACCAGTAGGTTCTGAATATGGACAAGTAATGTAAATTTCGCTGTATTTCTTTCAACAGAAGAGAATGAACTTCAGGAAAGGCGGCGTCGTGAGCAGGAGTCGGAGAAGCGGAGAGCAGAAGTTAACTCTCATACTCAGCCCATTCGAATTAACCATGTGACCTGGGTGGAGGAGTCTGGACCTGAGCACCGCCACATACCTGCCCCAGCCCAGCCTCCTCCCCCTCCCCCCACCATGCCCATCACAGTCATCCCCATTCCGGTGGTGTCCTCCACTTCTCCCACCCTGCCCCCACCCCCCACCACAGCTCTCAGCCCGTCGGCAGCACCCCGCCTTACGCCACCCAGAAAAGACACCCATTCACTGCCAAACCAGCAGGCACTTCACCAGTGCCCCCTCATCTCATCTCAGGTGAAGGCAGAGCCCACATCACTGTCTCAATCCAATGGCAACAAACCAGCCCAGCAGCTCCAGACCTACCTGGGCTCCATCGTCACAGCTTCCCAGCATGCACTTCTCCCTCAGCCTGGACCTCCTTCAGCCCAACCCAGCCCTGCGGTCAGAAGCAGCCCGCCCGATGACCACCGTAATTTGGACGGCAAGAAGAGACCTGGAGGGTGAGTCAGGATGTGAAGCTGTTATTTATCACCATGTTAACCATTGTTTAAGACTGAATCATGTGAAAACTTTTATAGTTGGTTTTACAGCTCTGAGTTTGTATTATGTTTGAGAGCTAGCTATTAAAGACCATATGACCTGTGTTTACAGGGCAGGAACGAGGGAAGTGCACAATAAGCTTGAAAAAAATAGGTAAGGTTACATAATGTTTTTCCACATACAGTGTGATGTATGTACACTATCGTTCTAAATGCACGTAATAACAGTAATACTTTGAAATATTATTACAAATTCAAATACCTGTTTTCTAGTTGTTGAACATATAAATTATATATGTATACATATTATATAAATTAAATGTATATTATTAAACAAATACCTGTTTATTTGTTACATATGTGAACTAGATATATATTGACATATTTAACAATTAAAAATTAATATATAGTACTTAATGATTGTCTCATATAAGTCTATTATGAAATATAAATGTTTATATAAATCTAATTATAAATAAGTGCTGACACCACATAAACCCTTATTATAATTTTTTTTATAAATTATCTCCTTTTCTCAGACGTGCTCACTTAAAGGAGTGTTTTGAGACCCTGAAGAAAAACATCCCTCATGTTGACGAAAAGAAGACCTCCAATCTGAGCGTTCTGAGAAGTGCTTTGAGATACATTCAGGTAAGATCAACACTACCTGCGCTGATAGATCTTCATTTACATGTTCACTGTCTGCTGTACATCTGTATCTCGGCCCATGCCATCAGACTTTGATTTGAGGTGTATATTTGCACATTTAAACAATGCAAGAGCAGGAGGGAATACCACACGCTGAGGAAGTCTTAAGTTTGTTAGTTACAGTTCTTTAATCTGAAGATTGATAAACTGAAAATGAGATATTTCCAGTGTTGCTTTGATTGATCTAAAGCCGTGAGATTAAACATCACTAATCGAGTTTATTTGCAGAGGGAAAATGGATAGTTGCTCTCCTGCACGTAATAATCACTTTAATGTAGCTTGCGCCAACAGTTGTACACGGAAGCAGCTCCAGGTGGATGTCGTATGAGGTCAGCTCAGAAGTGACGCACGCGGAAGCGCAGGGGAGAGATCAAAACAAAGCAACGGTAACTAATTACAAGTATAAAACGAGGATTTGTAAAGAAGAATGTCGGAGGATTTCGATATAAGCCGAGAGGAGACTGTTTTCCTTTGCTAAAGTAAGGAAACTGCTTCCTTTGCTCCTGTTAACAAACGCTGGTTTTCACAATACTCCGCAAGCTAGATTAAAGTGATTATTACATTTTGAATATGGATATTTTTCTTACAAAACGCTTCGATTCGCTACAGGGGGCTTTTGTTCACCCCCCAGAGCCGTGTGAGACACTTTTTTTTCTCTATGCTTTTTTTACGCTTTTTATTTAACTACTTTTGGACTGATGCGTGCAACACCCACTGAGTGGCATTGGTTTTCGCAAAAAAAACCCCCGTCCAATTGCCACTCAAAACTAGGCCAAAACTTGCCCAATCACATTTAGAGGGGGGTTCCCCAGTAAAATTCGCATTCCAGGAACTAAATATCACATTAGGGGCGCTTCAACTCGCGGAAATGAAAAACAATCCACGGCAACAGTGTTAAAGTAGCCCAGTTCCACGGGAAAACCGCAGACTTGGCAACACTGATTGATGTAAAAGAGGAAAGCAAGCATTTGGACCAAAGCACTGTGAGGCAAGGGAGGGGGAGACTCAAAATTTTTGCCCCGTTTGCGTTTTGTTGTTTTACTACTTACAAAGTTATTTAAAGTATAAAACATTGTTATTTACAATACACAGCGTTGTTTTTAATCATATTTTTTTGGGGACAACTTCAGATGGGGGGGAGGGTCCTGTCCTACCCCCCGGGATTTCCGCCTATGCCAGCGCCTCATTCACACATGTGCACACATAAGCACGCCTAGACCCTTTAGGAGAAGAAGTAGAAACCCAATCAAATCAAAGGATTTGATTTAGCCGAGGCACAAGACGTGCAGGAAACTAGGGTAGTGTGGAAACAAAACTTGTGTCACTGGATCCCGGCACCGTCACCACCCCCTCCTTAAGCCGCTTGCCTCTGGCCATTGGAAGATTTGACGGACCGACCCATCCCACCCATTATAGCTCTTTCCCGCTCTCTGCTGTCTGTTGCTCAACCAGGTTTAAGGTGTATTTATTTAAAGCACATGGCCTGTTGAAAACAACTAGCCATTTGCTATGATTTTTCCAGAATGTGATCCGTATACTGGGAGGTTGAAGCTTTTTGAATATGAATATGTGGCTCTGTTGTATTTAGAAAATCATATTTTTGATTAAATGTAATTAGTCTTGGGAAAATGTAGATGTACACACTACTGGTATTTAGCTACACTATAAGAAGGACAAAGTAGCTGAAAGTAGCAACTATCTGGATCATAAATCGCACATGTGCACACATAAGCACGCCTAGACCCTTTAGGAGAAGAAGTAGAAACCCAATCAAATCAAAGGATTTGATTTAGCCGAGGCACAAGACGTGCAGGAAACTAGGGTAGTGTGGAAACAAAACTTGTGTCACTGGATCCCGGCACCGTCACCACCCCCTCCTTAAGCCGCTTGCCTCTGGCTATTGGAAGATTTGACGGACCGACCCATCCCACCCATTATAGCTCTTTCCCGCTCTCTGCTGTCTGTTGCTCAACCAGGTTTAAGGTGTATTTATTTAAAGCACATGGTCTGTTGAAAACAACTAGCCATTTGCTATGATTTTTCCAGAATGTGATCCGTATACTGGGAGGTTGAAGCTTTTTGAATATGAATATGTGGCTCTGTTGTATTTAGAAAATCATATTTTTGATTAAATGTAATTAGTCTTGGGAAACTGTAGATGTACACACTACTGGTATTTAGCTACACTATAAGAAGGACAAAGTAGCTGAAAGTAGCAACTATCTGGATCATAAATCTATTGTTATAGCACAAAGTCACTCTATAGTCAATATACATAATACATAATGTATTTATATATGTATAAATAAAATGCATTTATTTAACTATATAGTCAACTAAATAGTCAACCTGAGTGATATTTGTCTAGCACAGGAAAACTAAAGGTGTCAGTTAGGATAACATCATTAAACCACTAATTAATTAAACTGCTAATTAATTTAAGTATTATTATTATTATTATTATTATTATTAACTAATTAATTTACTGTAAATTAATAAACAGCTCATTTAATAAACTTAATAAAGAGCAACATTCCAGTGGTCAAAACTAAGCTGGTGAGTGTGTTTGCAACTAGATTTTCCCCTAGTCTCTATTATTGGTACCGGTACTGAGAGCAACATTCCAGTGGTCAAAACTAAGCTGGTGAGTGTGTTTGCAACTAGATTTTCCCCTAGTCTTGACGCTGACACACTCTGCTCCTATTTGACTGAGAGAATGGGCAAACCTGTTACATGTCGAAGATTGATTCAACCCTCAACAGATTCAGTTCGTTTCATGTTACTGCTGAGTGTAATGAAATAGCAGACATGTATGACCCACAACTTTGGCCGGCGGGGATTTATGTTCGCCGTTATATTGAGGCTCATAAACCTAGAGTAAACAGTGACGGCGCGGCCCTCGGATCAGGAGGGGGGGCTGACTTGCAAGAACATCGGCCAGTGCCTGACATTACATCTGCAGGCTTACAAAAGAGCAGTAGCTTTGTGGGTGCTCGGGATAAACTGAACTAAATGAAGATCAATATCATGTCATATAATGCTCGAGGACTGTGTGTTGGCCATAGTGATGCAGATAAATCACGCCGGTTTGTGGTGAATAAACTATTGGAGTCCTGTGATGTTTTGTGTGTCCAAGAGACTTTCCTACCTAAGCAGGACTTGAAAAGTCTGAATTCTATACATAAAGACTTCTGTGGGGCGGGTGAATCTACTACTGACCGGAGCACTAAAATAGTTCAAGGTAGGATACCCGGAGGTGTTGCAGTATTATGGCACAAAAAGTTTGACCATCTAGTTAATGTGGTTAGACTGGATGTTGATTTGGCTATAGGAATTGAGTTCAGTGGTGGTGGGAAAAAGTTAATCATTCTGAACATTTATACACCTTATGAGAGTCCCCAGAATGAAGATGAATACCTTAACAGGTTGGCTTGTGTTATGTCCTTTATTCAAGATAATGCTACCACATGCTTTTTTATTGTGGGTGATATGAATGTGGATGTTTCTGATGGTAGCTCCTTATTTGCCAATCATTTAATTCAGTTTTGCTCTGATAATGGTCTGGTCCTCTCCAGTAAAGAACATTTACCTGCTAAAAGTTACACGTATATCAGTGATGCATGGCATACAACCTCATGGTTAGAACATTGCATCTGCACAACTGATGCACATGATTCCTTAGAGTCCATGAGAATTAATTATGACTTTGCCACTACTGATCATGTGCCTTTTTCTGTCTATAAATTTGGGCAATTTACTTACACTTTTGTCTATGAGTATCAACATGCAGGTAGGGAAATTAGATTGGTTTAATGAAGTTGTGAATGTCTCCCCGCAAGAAGTTTATGATGCAGTTATGATGCTAAAAGATAATAAGGCATGTGGTATGGATAAGATATCTGCTGAACATTTAAAATTTGCAAGTAGAAAATGATATCCTTTGCTCGCTATTTGTTTTACTGGGTTTTTAGTTCATGGTATTTTGCCAGATTCTGTCTTATCTGTTATGTTAGTGCCTATTATTAAAGACAGAGCTGGTAAAATAAATAGCATGGATAATTACCGGCCTATAGCCTCCAAGGTTATTGAAAGGATTTTATTGAAGAAGATGGAACATTTTGTCCTGACTTCTGATAACCAGTTTGGTTTTAATACCGAAACATGTCACTGATGTGTGTTTTTTTGCTCTAAAGGAGATTTTAGATTTTTATAACAGGCATAATTCCACAATTTTTGGAATTAAATAATTCCAACAACAAAAAAAACACAATAAAAAAATTTGCAAGTAGAAAATGATATCCTTTGCTCGCTATTTGTTTTACTGGGTTTTTAGTTCATGGTATTTTGCCAGATTCTGTCTTATCTGTTATGTTAGTGCCTATTATTAAAGACAGAGCTGGTAAAATAAATAGCATGGATAATTACCGGCCTATAGCCTCCAAGGTTATTGAAAGGATTTTATTGAAGAAGATGGAACATATTGTCCTGACTTCTGATAACCAGTTTGGTTTTAATACCGAAACATGTCACTGATGTGTGTTTTTTTGCTCTAAAGGAGATTTTAGATTTTTATAACAGGCATAATTCCACAATTTTTGGAATTAAATAATTCCAACAACAAAAAAAACACAATAAAGTGTTTTATTGATGCTTCTAAAGCCTTTGATCGTGTAAATCATGAAAAGTGTTTTTTTTTAAGTTTTACAATAGAAGAGTTCCCAAATTTTTTGTGAGAATTTTGGCTTTTTGGTATGCTCATCAATGAATGTATGTAAAATGGGGTAATTGTGTGTCTGCTCCATTCAGTGTATGTAATGGTGTCAGACAGGGAAGCATTTTGTCTCCCTTTTTATTTAATGTTTATATGGATGATTTATCAAAGCTGTTAAATGGTTGTAGAACAGGTAGTATGGTTGGTAATACCATTATAAACCATTTGATGCAGATGATTTGGTGATCTTTTGTCCGTACAGTGCTGGTCTTCAACAGTTACTGAGGATTTGTTCTCGATATGGTTCATATGGTTCAGTTTAATGAATCACTAATTATTTTTGGAACCAGTTTGTTTACATTTATAGTCCATTTACTGACATCTATGTTTATTAAAATGAATCAGACTTCCTACATTTGAGAGGACATGTAGGAGTATGTTTCAAGTATTTTCAGAGCTCGCTGATACCGTGTGACAAAAACAGAAATGTAGCATTTTGTTACACCACTAGTTGTGGGATAAAGTACCTTGTCAGTGAAAAGCTACATTATTTTGCAATGGTGCCTCAACTAGAAAAGTTAGTAGCATGGCTAGTTATAGTTAGTCACTCTTGATGTATTATTATTAATGACACTCAGTAATTACTGTCTTTGAATGTTTTTCTTGAAGGAAAGGTTTGTGGGAAGCTTGTGTACATTTTATTGAATGTTCATAGAAAAGCTAGTCAGCTGTTTCCCAGTCAATATCTGTTTTGTTCTTTTCCTGCTAAAAGATTAGTGTGTGCCTGCAGGTCTCTCTTAATGATTAGTGTTGTGTTTGTGTGTGTACGGGCCATGGGTGGAGGCAGGCGCATACGCACACCTCACCTCCACGCGTCTGCCTCTGCATGCGCTCCTGTCTGCAGCCCCTCCCACTTTCCCCTCACTGACCAATCGGCTCCTCCCGGAACTGAATAAGAGGATTGTTTGATGAGATTACTCTTCATTTTATTCATCTTCATGGCACCTGATTCACATATTCCTGTGACGTCATGCCAAATCTGCTTTTTGACATCCAAAGTGACTAGTGACTGAGTGAAGACAATGCTTATCTGTATTAGGCCAGGGAATATACCAGTGTTGTTATTTTTGTCTAAAACAGAAAAGACTTTACATTAACTAGCAATAAGCAATACATTTGCTACAGTATTTATTAATTGTTCTTAATGTTAGTTAATAACTATACAACGGTTAATTGTTAAATCATGTTTCCTCCGTTCCATAAAAAAATAACAGATGAAATTAACTAAATAATTAAGATTAAGATAAATTAAGATAAATAAACGCTTTATTAATGAATCAATTCATTTCAACTAATGTTTACAAAAGGAACCTTATTATAAAGTGTTACCACTAAAGCTATTAAAATGTTAATTGAAATAAAATAAAATATGAATATTAGATGAAAAACTTAAATTCAAAAAATTGAAAGAAAATGAGTTGCCTTGGCAACTAACTGAAATAAATTTGAAGTTAAAGTACTAAAATTACTAAAACTAAAGCTGAAATAAAAATAAAGCTAACAAAATGGCTAAAACTAAAATGTAAACAAATAATGGAAAATCTAAAAATAAAAGCTAATTCAAATAATTCAGGCAATAATAAAATAGTATAGTAACAATACTAAAATATACACTATTACACAAATTCTATTACACACTAATACTAATTCTAAAAAAACACACTAACATACTGTGAGTCTTGGGAGAAAATAAAAGCTGTTTAATTTCTCTGAATATTCCGAGAAATTCGCTTGTCGTGGAAAATCTATGAGGAAGAAGTCACACCGCATGTGGTTTTGACCCACGCTTCATATTGCTTGCAAATGTTGATTTGAAAAGCATAAATGTTCTATTAAACTGCAGATTTGGATTCATTCTTCATGCTATACTAGCCTCATTTTATGTCCCATAAAACCAGACTTTACGTGTTGTGAATGAATTATGATGACTGTTGCTTTAAATGTTATCCTATGAGTCTTGGGAGTTTCCCAGTTCTGTCTAGTAGCTCAGAGCTCCTCCTCCCTCTGTGCTTATTTTCTTCCTTCCCCCACTCTCGCGTTCGTCATGTTCCCTGCCATGGCCACATGAGTAGCGAGCACATGGCTAGACAGGGCCGCGTGACGTCACCCCCTCCAGCTGTTGTTCCTGCAGCAGTACGGCACACTCGTGGAGCTTGATCTTAGTTTAGCCCCATCCCTGAAACCCCCGCATTAGGTGCTGCCGTTTATTTAAGAACCCTTGCAGGACCTGTTTTGCTTAGCAGGCTGAGTGGATTGTGAAATCTACAAGGTCAGTTTTTTGTCCTTGGCACAATGTG